ACGGTGTTCGTCGAATATCGCGATATACCCATTGGTATTTCTTTACTAGTATACTTTGTTTGCTTGGTTAATTACATTGGAAATATTGGGTATCGAGTATATGTTTTCTCTATAATTCTAATTGCAATTCTTATGATTCTTGTCCAAACTCGTGAAAAGTTTTCTCTGATTTCTTCTACTTTTCGTACGAATTTTACAACGATACGTAACTTATATTCTTCAACAGTTTCATATCCAGTGCAACTGCGATACAAACAACTGCGACACCAACTCCGTATATTTTACGAAAGATAAGAAGTCTAACTATGCGATTTCTATCATTTACGCAATGATGGAAAGAGTTTTCGAACAATTGCAATTCGGAATGTCGATATCTTTTCACTTCATCGCAAGGTATCTAATATTTCACAACAGAATTTATAGCAAGAGTATCGAGAATTTATAGCAGGTATTGTGTAAGGAATCGTGGGTTTTGGATTGCTATCGAGACATTTGGGGTCTGTTGATCGTTCAACTTCAATCGTTGAAACAGAAGGAGGAATTATACTCGCGTACAATAGGGTTTAACCGTGAGTTATAAAGTTATAGAATCGACGACAAGCGACGATAATGAGTGTCGATATGGATTTTTATATCGAGTCGAACGATTTTCGAGTCTCGATGTAATTATCGTTCGATTTGGCGCGTCAGGATGCGCCGTAAAAACTTTTACGAGCATCCATCGAAGCAGTTTAATGTTCGAAGTTGCATTTCGAATACTCGATTCGCTTTTTTATCGTAATTATATTGCAAGAAGAGAAAAAGTTACCACTTTAAAGTAATATAAGGAATGAAACGATGCGTCAAGTATGCACCTAATTAAATTCTTAACGAGAGGATTGACCATTATAAAAGTGTCAATGTAAAGATTTAAAAGATTTGCAATATACATTGCAATTGCTTTTATGAATATTTTCGAATAAATTCAGTTAATTGTTACATCGAATCAAATGTTTATTCGTTCGAAAGTAATCTTAAGTAAAATTATTTTTAATAATAAAAAAAAAAAATTGGAGAAAGCTTAACAATTTAATCCAAATAATAAAACATATTATGTAAGTAAATTAAATATCAGAAATTTATAATTGTAATACATAAAGAATCGCATCTTATCCATAATTATCTCGTTTAAGGAAAAATACAAGCTTCCTTCATTCTCCATTCTCGATCGTGAGCCCGTCAATTAAAATTTTATCAATTATCTCCAACTCTCGTTACTCTTCTCCTTATCCTTTCCCAAACCATTTCTCAATATCTTATCGAACGATTTGCAAACTCGATCACATCCCAACATTGAAACAAATTTGCACATTGAACGGCTGTCAGTATGTTAACGAGGGTATATCGTACGAAGGGCGAACGCGAATTGACGTGATCTGATATACAGAGAAAGGGAAAGAGATAGAGATAGATAAAGATAGATAGATAGAGAGAGAGAGAGAAGTGTTTCAAATCACGACCGTCTAACATTACGCTAATTAAGGACCTTATTCAGTGAAGATGACATATCTTCCCTTCGTGTAATTGGAGCAAGATGTATTTAAGTGATGGAACCTATCATCTTCTCACCGTTCACGAGACCCGATCGAGCTGATGATAATTGATGCACACTTAATAACGAACGATCCGCGCAAAGTAATTAAGAGCATGCACGCAAATTTATCAAGATCCTTCTCCTTCCCTCCCTCCCCCCCCCCCACCCCCTGGAACATGCTATTAACGTCAAGACGTCCCGGCTTGAGATATGTAAACTCGTCGTTAACGATTGGGTGGGAAACGAGTGGCCGAAGCCACCTTTAGATTGAATTACGTTCGATCCGGATTATTTCGATCGGATCACATCGGACTGGTATTGGTGTGAAAAATTACAAGGAACTAGATTTATAAGATGCGTGTATCAAAAACCTAACCCAGCCAGATTGCAAACGTTTACTTATTTATGGATCATTTGATATAAAAATTTATGGAACGTGCATAATTAATATAACACGTACAAAATTATAATATTCCGAATGTGCAACAAACAACTTTTATCTAAATTAAATTTGCATTAAATGTTCACAAATGATTGATAATTATATGATATTTAAGGTTTTGTTTTTTAAAACGTGCATTATTAAAATTTGCCATAAATGTTTATCGTTATACTTTTTGAAAATTGAAATCAATCATAGGATGTTATCGATAAGAGATAAAAGAGTTACCGAAGAATTCGAGAAGGATAAAAAGATTGCGAACAGAGAAGTGTTCTGGTTGCATGGAAACCTCGAAGGAGAACAGATAATCGATGAGGGGGACCAAGTGTCCTGACCATAGCGAGGAATTGACAGACAAGGCGCTATCTTAAAGGGAATACCTAAAGGGAGATCGTGGCTCTCCCGCCTCTGCCGAGAAGTCGAGCAATAAATTCGCGGATACGTCGCCGACAGAAGGATCTGATAGCGGCGAAACTTGCCCGTGCGCAAAACCCTTCTTTTCGCCCATACCGAATATGGAAACGCACGACCCTTCGCTGAAACGATTCGAATATCCGTGTATCTTGCGCCAAGAATTCGATTAAATCGTGGAACAACCGTGGAAAAATCAATTTTCAAGTATAATATCGATTTCTTTTGTTTCTATATCATCTGTTCTGAATTGTTTAACTCTTTAGTTTTTATTGTTGCAATGTTACAACAATCGAAAGTATTTCAAATTTATCTCTGAGTATAATATTGAATGTCTTTTTTTTATACAAAGATTTTTGTTATAAAGAGTTATTATTTTTTTTTTTTTCAGCTTTCTTTTCATGTACATTTAAATCGAAGTAATTATCATAAGAAAAATTTGAGGAAAACTTGTGTCTTCATCGATTTCGATAATTTTTAAATATATTGTAAAAAATCGAATGACTTTTTTCTTTACATTTGATAGACTATCAATCTTAGTTTCCGAGATATTCGCAAATAATTAGATATTTATTTTATATTTTATTAATTAAACATTAAAGTTCTTTCTTGAGCGTTTTAATAATTAATAAATTTTGCAGCACAAATATAAAGAGAGAATAAATAGTAGAGGATGGGAATAGAGTAAAAATTGTGAAATCAGCGCCACCTTTAGAATGTTTAAATGAAACATATGAGACAAAGAAAACAAATAGTAAGAAAAAGATAAAGATAAATTAAAAACATTTTTCTAAAAATACTCAAGAGATGGCGATAATATTTAATTCTTATTCTATTTTATCCTAATTTCGAAAAGATATCTTGTATAGTTACGAGATGGCGCTAGTGATCAATTTTATTTTCTCTTATTACTCACTCTACTTATCTATATTTGAATTTTATTTATGAAATTTTTATTTTTCAAATTATTAGAAATTTATTAGAAATGGCATTGATTTCATAATTTCATAATCTATCTCTTATTTACGCTCCTTATACGATCTATGCTTGCTCTTTGCACATGATTATAAAGTACATATTAATTGAACGCATTTTCATCATTTCATTTTTTAAAACTTTAATCTTTATCTACTTTACTATTTTAATTTTTAATGTAAAAAAAATATAAATATTATATTCTTAATTTTATATTATACGATAATCTTATAAAACATACTACATACATCATTATATTATATTATATCATGATAAATGACATATTTTGACATGAATCGCTTAGTATGAGTGATGAAATTTGAAATGAGTGAGAAATAAACGAAAACTTAACAATAAAATTTTGAACTATTCTATCAAAAATTTGTTTCAAATTGTATCAAATTTATTTGTTCGTTATTTAATTAATAACATAACATTTTCAAAAAAAAACTATTATTATATTATTGCTTACCTTTAAATTAAATTGCTCCATAATTGCCAATTTATTTCCATTGTTATTTTTCAAATAACTCACAATTAACAAAGAATGATATTTAAAACGTGATTTCAAATGGATACTTGTTCGTTAACTTGCCGCTATAAAGGTTCATAAATGTATAATTTTATGACATATATTCTGAAACTACTGCAGCGCACTCTTATTGTAGAATGAATCAAAGTTCTCCTTTGATCTGGACACATATTTTCGTATTTTTATATTAAATATTGAAATGAATTTATACTTGCAATTAAATTAATGTTATGCTATATTTAAATTAAAATTAAAACATATTTATATATTTTATTATATTATTATTTTAAAGTTGTATAAAAATATGCATAAAGAGAATTTAATCACACATTCATGATAAATATTTATTCATAAAAGAATTTTTATTTTAGAAAAATCTTTAAAATTCAAATTGTATTTTATATTTAAATTTATATTCAATTTATTTCATGACTTTTTAATATCATTTTATGAACACTGATATAGTATCATATATGATTATCTCATGTAGTAGATGGCGCTTTCTCAATTTAATCTAGTGTATAGAACAAATTAATTTATATATTATATGCAATTGCTGACATATTTCATAAAATAATATATCCACCAAGGTAATCCACGATAAACATAGAAAAAATTTTTTACAATGGAAAAACATATAAAACCATTAACAGATAACAATGTAGATTCTCAATTCATGGCTATAATAGCTGCAGTAATCGTGATTATTATAACTATAGGTAATTAAATGCAATATACATAGGTTATAAATTTCTTATATTTTATATATGTTAATTTTTAATTATCATGTATTAAAAATTAAAGCAAACTTAATAATAATTTACACGAATGATAAATTTTGTGATTTTTATTATTACATTATTTAAAACAACATTGCAGTTTTCTTTCATGTAGCAAATAAAATTAAAAATATATTCACTTAAAAACTTTTCATATAAATTATTGTAAATTATATATACAACATGAAATTTACATCATTATTAGAGTAATAATAGGATGTTTTTTTTTTTTGAAGCGTACATATATTCAATTTTTTTTATATTTTTTACTAATATTTATAAATAATATTCACAGTCTCATAGTTTCAGTTGTAACATTCTATAAATACCACATTTATTTTTTTAAAAAAAATGTATATCATTATAGCCACAGTAATTAATAAACATTATAAATATAGCTGCAAGTAATGAAACAAACATAATATTATAGTTGTATACATAATATAAAAATAGGTACATTTTTGTGTAAAAATTTTTTAGGTTTTTATCCTAATATTTATAAGATTAAGTTTGTAAAGCCATTTGTTTGGTAGTAATAGCTCAATTTTAAACATTACTACCTTTTTTATAAGTTTCTGTTCATTTTTTTTACATAGTATTATTTGCCATATGGCATAAAAGAAGATCTATAGGAAATAGTATATTGTTAACTGGTCTTAGTGATGCTGGTAAAACATTGATATATGCACATCTACTTTGTTCCAAATTTGTTAAAACACATACATCTGTAAAAGAAAATATAGGAGACATCATAATCAATAATGTAAGTTTATATTAATATATTTTTATTAGTTCTTATAAAATAAATCTTGACATACCAAAAACATAGGTTTCTAAAGTTGTTGGTGTATTTAGCGTTCTCTGAAAATTGTTGATATACCTGGACATGAACGTCTGCGTTATAAATTTTTTGATCAATTCAAATTATCCGCAAAAGGACTTGTCTATGTGATTGATTCAGTAACTTTCCAAAAAGATATTCGAGATGTAGCAGAGTAAGTACACACAAGAGGTAAGTCATCACATCCTGCAATATTAATAATAAATAATCTTTCACTTTTAGATATTTATATAATTTACTTTCCGATTCTGTTATACAAAAAAAACCTGTACTAATATTATGTAATAAACAAGATCAAACTATGGCAAAAGGTTCAGTTGTTATAAAGACTTTATTAGAAAAAGAAATGAATTTATTACGTATGACAAAAACAAGTCAGCTGGAAGCTACAGATGCATCAGCAACAAATATTTTTCTTGGCAAGCAGGAGAAAGATTTTGACTTTTCCCATCTAGATATAAATATTGAATTTGGAGAATGTAGTGCATATAACAAGGATTCTGAAACTTCTGCAGATATGGAGCAACTAAACAATTGGTTAAAAAAAATTATATAAAAATGTTAAAATGTCTTTTCATTTTTCCAAATAAATTATTTGTTTGTAACTTTTTAAATTGTTTTTTATAATTGTTTAATTTATAATTTTAACATAATTAACTTTCATATATTTTTTTAATAACAAAATTTATTATTTTTCAATTTTATCATTTGACAATACAATTCTCAACATTTACACATTAAAAATAATTGTCTTACATCAAATTTATGTTACATATAATTAAATTTTGTAGCTTTTACTTAATATAACTTAAAATCTATTATAATTTTGTTCTAACCTAACGATGTTTTCTACTTGATCAAGTATAGCATAAAATTTGTTCATATTTCTCATATACTTCAAAACAAGTATTAAAATTTTAAAATATTTTTGCTTACGTCTAATATTAAACATAAATGATACAAATAGTAGAATTTTTCTTTCACTTTAAAAACATTGTTCCGATGATCAGATAATCGATGCAACTGCACGAAATGTAAATGCTTAGTTAATATAGATAGCAAGTGGCGTTTTATTTAAATATTTTTTTCTTTTTTCCATTAAATAAATAATTGTTATTATTAACAACTAACAAAAAAATAAAGAAGATTAAATTTTGCGCGAGATATATCGAAATATCATTTTTCAAATATTTCAATATATATATATATTATTATATGTATTATATTTATTATATATATATAATTAATTATAAAAAATATTTTTTTTTATATATATATAATAACAATTAAAAAATAGTTAAAAAATATTTAAATTCTTCTGTTTTCAGATGATACACGAATATAAATATAATATTCTACTTATATCAACTATATATTATCGTTATAATAATTATTTAATTTAATTTGATAATAATTATTATATTTTAGATCAATATTTTAAAATATTTCTTCATTATTAAATTTTCAAAAAAAAAAAAGAATTTAATTATTAAATAAATCAATTTTAAATTTACAAAATTGAAAAAAATGGATATCATAAAAATATGCAACAAAATTTTTTATAAATTGGATTAAGTTTTCAAAATATTATAAAAGAATAATTGTTGAATTAAGCTTATAGTTTAACAAAAAACCTAAATAAAACAAATTAAATAATGTTTCTATAAAATATAATTGCAATATATTTATGATACAATATGCAACGCAAGAATAAATAACTAACTAATTATGCAATTAAAAACTGAATATCTTAAGATTATTAACATCACAATAAAATCAGATATTATTGTTAAATACGTATTTTTCAAATTAAAATTATAACTTACATGTATAAAAAAATATTAACTATATTTTATTTAAAATTGCATCTTATAATAAAAAATCTTTATAAATGAATCAAAGATTTAAGTTCTAAATATGTTAAACTTATTCAAAATAATTAAAAATTATTGATTAATAAATCAGAACGAAATCTGTTTCACATTATGCGCCATTGTACGCCATTTTGAATTAAAAACACTTGAAATTATAAAGAAGAAGGAATATAACCTCGAATATCAATCATGTGTTTATTTATAAAATATTATTTTAGATAATGTAGATAAGATAAAACAAATTGTTTTGCATATTTCGATCATTGTTCGGCCATATTTTTACTGAATATTACATATTTTATGAATAACATTCAATCTTTTTCTACATTCGGAAAGTTGTTTTAAGATTAATTGTTAAAAGAGATAATTTCGAACATATTTATTATATTATGTCTCATTCCACGTCTCAGAATAAAAACTATAATGTTAATATTGGAGGTAATTTCATTTTTTTAATAATTTTTTTTATAAAAAGTTTTTTTTATTACTATTAATATTATAGTTATAAACCAAATATTTATATATATTTATACATTAAATATATCCAATTAATTGACTTTAAAAATTGAAAATTAATTTTTAAAAATTGAAAAAGTGTCTAAAATATACAATTGTATATAAATACATACTTTAGATTTGACTTACTTAATTCTGAACAGATTTAATTAAACAGATTTAATTTAATAATAATTATTATATTTTAGATCAATATTTTAAAATATTTCTTCATTATTAACTTTTAAATTTTCAAAAAAAAGAGTTTAATGTATTAAATAAATCAATTTTAAATTTACAAAATTGAAAAAAATGAATATCATAAAAATATGCAACAAAATTTCGACTTTTGAAATAAAACAATATGTCTTGAATATTTATCGTCACAACATAATAATTAAACTATTAAATATCCATCATAATATATGTATGTATATATACAAGAATACAATGAAATTTGATTTTAATATTATTGATATTAAAATCTTATAAGTTATTTACAACATAATTTGAAAACATAATTTTTAAGTTAAGAATTTATTTTAAAAATTTATTATGTGATTATAATAAAGTTATAATATTTTAAAATGGTAAAGTAATATTTCAATTTTAATAATATAACTTAAACTTATATATTCAACTATAAATTTTAAAAAATTTTTTATAAAATTAAAGATTAATTAAAATCAGATAAAAAAAAAATAATCAATTTTTATATTTTTTTATAGATATGCGAATTGCATACAAGGACAAAAACGAAACTTTTACAGAAAATCATCTTGTAAGTAAAGAACCAATTGGTCAATTTAAAGCCTGGTTCGACGAAGCATGCAAAATTCCGCAAATTTTTGAAGCGAATACTATGTTTCTTGCTACAGCTACCAAGTAATATTAAATAAATTAAATTTTAATATATATTAAAAAATATATATTAAAAAACAAATTTTTTTTATTGTAAATTAAAAATTATTGTTTTATAAAAATATCGATCTTTACAGAAATGGAATTCCGTCCGTGCGACCAGTATTACTCAAAGATTATGGAGAAGATGGTTTCAAATTTTATACTAATTATGAAAGTAGAAAAGCTCGCGAAATAGTAAGTACATTATATTCATATTTTCTAAATATTATATATATCTATATGATTTTTAGGCTGAAAATCCAAACGTGGAGGTGAATTTTTATTGGCAACCGTTACATCGAAGTGTAAGAATCGATAAATCGATATATATATAATATATAAGAATTATTTTTTAAAAATAATATTAAATCAGCAATAGCATTTTATTTTCCATTTATTTATATTAATTTAATTAATAGAGATACTTTAATAGAGTCTTTTTTCTTAAATAATTATTTTCAAATAATATTCATATTTAAATTATCATTATAAATTATTATCATGTTAAATTTTCATTCTATATAATTATTAAAAATTAGGTACGTATAGCAGGTATAATAAAGAAAACTTCTTTAGAAGATTCAGAACATTATTTTCAAAGCCGACCATATGCAAGTCAAATAGGATCAATGGCTAGTAAACAAAGTAGTGTAATCGCAAGTAGAAATACGCTTATAATAAAAGAAAGAGAATTGTTAGCTCAATTTCCAGAAGGAAAAATTAAAAAACCAGATTGGTGGTAATTAATATAAATTATTATATATTATTATATAGAAAGTAAATTATGAAAAATATATGATATGATATACAATGATAATAGATTAATTTGATTTTCAGGGGAGGATATATTATTATTCCACATTCCATAGAGTTTTGGCAAGGTCAAAGCGATCGCTTACACGATAGAATTCATTTTAGACGATTGAAACCAAACGAAAAAATCGACAATGTACTTGTTCATCAAGGAGATAATGGATGGGTTTATGAAAGACTATCTCCATAAACAATATTGAAAAAATTATTTATTACAAATGCAGAAAAGACAATATTTTCTTAGTAATAAATTCTACTTAGGTAAACTACTTAAATAATACTATTTTCTTTTAATTTTTAAAATTTCTCTTTGTAATCCTAAAAATATATATATATATAATTGTTGCTTGTTGTAAAAAAATTGTAAAATATATATTTACCCTCTTTACTTTTCCATACTATTTTAACATCAAAAATACCATCTTCTATTATTAAGTTTTCGAATTGTCTCATTCCTCCTCCAACACCAAAATAATAACTTTTACCAGCAATAAACCTAAGAATATTATGTGGTTTAATATTATATTTTATTATCATAAAAACTCTGAAGTTTATACATTAATTACTATACTTGCCCAACACCATTTTGATTGAGTTTTTGTTTAAAAACTTCATACAGTTTTTTATGATTATTGGGATTATAAATTGTTTCGCTTGTAAAAATCAGATCATATCCTACAAATTCGTTCTCATCATTACACAATTTCGTAAATGATTCCCAATCGCCACAAAAAAATTGACATTTCTTTAATATACTTTTTCGATCTTCAAAATTTAACATAACATTTGGAATGGTTACAGTTTTAATTATTTCTATATTCTGTGAAATTATTTAACTATACAGTTCATTTTATGACGAACATAAAGATTACATTAAATAATAAATACGAACATAATCTTGAAAATGTACAGTCGAATTTTTAAGAAGAGCAATTAGACCAATTATACCAGTACCACATCCCAAATCCAAAACAAATTTATTTTGGAATTCTATGTTGTTTTCTGATAAATATTGTCCTAAATCATAACTGCATTCCCAAATTTTTAAGCCACCTTTTTAAAAATATAGATATGGATGATTGAGAAACATAATTAATATAAAAAAAAAATATAAGATTTTTTTTTAAGTTAAGTAGTCTACCTTCGTATTTAGCGGGAATAAGATCAGAATGTTGTATCTCTGCTTCTATAATATTACTGCAATTTTCTTTTTGCAAATCATGCAAAGCCTTTTCAAATCTAATTAATTTTAATTTACAATCTGAAAATATTAAATATTCTGTATAATCATTCGATTCGTAGTATTTTTCGATTTGCAATTCCGAAATCTCCACTTTTGAAGCAGGAATCCAATTAATTGTCGATTTTTTCGTATCGTCATTTTTTTCTAAAATAATTCCATTAAAATTTTTTTTATAAAATTATTTCTTCAAATATTAATTTATAATCAACAAAAATAAGAATTCTTTTTAAAAATTAACCGTGGATGTAGTATAACAAATATAACCTCAAAATAATTTCTTACGCTAAGAACTAGTTTTATAGAAAATATAACAAAAATACCTTCATCTTTCTTGTTATTTGAAAAGCCGAATTTAAACATTGCATTTAATAGTTATGTTTTCACAATTATTTGCAAGAAACTAATATAAACTAATAAAAATAAAATAATTGAAATCAAAAATCATATCAGAATCAATACGAATGAGATATACTAGAATTAAACTTATTCGTCAATAGTAAGGCATATATGATTATTATATTTTAATAATGTAAAATTATTATATTAACAATATTAAACATGTTTGCAATGTTTATGAATAGTATAATTTAGAAATTTAAATTATAAATAACATACATAAAAGCATATTGAATTAAAATTACATAAACAATTTTATTTATTTATAATATAATTGCAATAATATAATAATATATATGTAATATAATAATATAATAATATATATGTAAATATATATATGTATATATTAAGATAAAAATTACTAAATCAAACATTTTAGATTAATATATATATATTATAAAATTATATAATATATAATATATAATATATATATTAAATTGAAATGTTTGATTTAATAATTTTTAACTTTTAGTCTCTAAAATGTCTAAACTTTTCATATTACTGATAATAAATTTATATTATTAATGAAAAAAATCATGCAATTATTTAATTATCAAATAAAACGCAATTATCAATCTTATCATAATAATATTTTATATATTGTATCGTCCTATCTTTTAGGTATTTTCACTTATCATTGATTACATATCAATCTTTTTTTTTTTAATATTCTGTGGAAGAAAGATATTTATCGAAAAACAGTGAATTCATTTTAACTTGTTTTTGCGGTACAATGAAAAGGGAAGGGAGTTAATAAAAGCCTTAATATGTTTCTGAGGGACTTCCCAGGCGCGTTCAATTTTTTGTTTAAAAACCAGCTTCATTTCATAATTCTTATTTAATTATATCTTTAACCACGAGCTAAAACGATCTCGAATATCATGGAATCAAAAAATTTTTTAACTCTTACAGTATACGTTTTGATTTTATTCGTGTCGATCGAAAATATATTTACGTTATCAATTTCCTGTATCAACTTTGAAAATAAAACTGGTAAAATTATTTTAGCTTAAAATTATTAAAAATAGGTTTAGTAAGTGAAAAAATAGATATAAAAATAAATTTTCATTTTTATTAATTAAAATCTTTTTTTTCTTTTCATTTTCTATTTTCACAGTATATATAATATAATATATAATATAATATAAATATATAATTATATATATATAAATATATAAATATATAAATATATAATTATATATATAATTATATATAAATATATAATTCAAAAGATTTGTCGATTATTTCACTTTTCACTTTTTTTATCACCATATAAACTTGAATGAAAAGAGTATAACGAGTATTGTATATAAAATTTAATATATTCAGGAAAATATTCACTGACAGTTAATTATAATAATTTTTTAATTAATATAATAATTTAAGAAACATCGTACTATCAAGTCACTTCGTTTTTTTGTGTTCACATTTTTTTCCCAATTTTTTACTATTACTCAGAAAATTTAGAAGAATAAAAAGAATTAAAAAGAATATCATCTCGATCAGAGATTCCTAATATCGTGAGCAGAAAGGAATGGCAAGCTAGACCACCGATTGCCCGAGAGTTAATGGACAAAACGCCAAAACCTTACGTGGTCATTCATCACGGAGGGATAACTCACTACTGTTACGATGTGAAAACGTGCTCAGCGATCGTAAGAGAATACCAAAACTTGCATTTGGACGAACGAGGCTGGTACGACATTGGTTACAGTTTCGTTATAGGCGAAGATGGAAATGCTTACGAGGGTCGAGGCTGGGATTACGTTGGAGCGCATGCACCTGGTTATAACACGCAGAGCATTGGAATATGCATCATCGGTGACTTCAGTAGTAAATATTTTGTGAATTGACTAACAAAATTTCATGTGAAATTTAACAATGAAAAGTGAATTAGTGACATGTTAAATGTAATTGAATTGAATCGAAATTTAATTCTAATTACGATTAACGATGGAAAAATATATTTTTATCCAATTTTTACGATATCAAAGATATCAAAATTCTGAATTTTATTAATTTTAGAGCATTTAAATTTTTTTTTTTAATTTCCTTTAAATTTTCCGATAAATAGTGCATTATAGATTCTAAGACATTATTATACAAATTCTTGTTACAAATTCTATCATTCAGATGAAAATAAAATCTATTAAGTCTAATTAATCTATTCTAATAATAAGTCTAATTAAATCTATTTTTTCTTGTAGATAGACTTCCCAACAATGCAGCTCTGAAGACATTAGAAGCTTTGATCAAATACGGAGTGTCCCTTGGCAAAATCAGTCAAGATTACCATATTATAGGACATCGGCAAACTAAAAATACTCTTTGTCCAGGCGACAAATTTTATGAATACGTTCAAAAATTAGCACGATGGACGGCTAGACCAGTACCAAAAAATTCGACAACATCATGATCATGTAAATGACCATTGTTGGAGAAATGAAAATATATCGATGAATAATGATAAACTTAATATATTTTACAATATAATAGATAATATATAGATAATATAATATATAATATCAAACAATAGACAATAGATAATATATTGAAATACTTATAAATAATAATTATTATAATAATTTAATTATTATAATAATTATTATTATAATAATTAAAATTACAAATTTAATTGCAATTTAACAATAAATAAAAAGATTAAAAAATAGTCTTTATTATGTTGGAAATTTATTTATTTATTATTTATTTAGTCTTTATTATGTAAGGAAATTTACAGTATTTGTATCGTATTGATAAAAAAATACAATTAGCGATAATTAAATATAAAAATTAGTTGCAATTTATTTCTTTTTCTTTTTGTTTATTTTATTTCTTCGATAAGATAAGTCAAGTATGTAAATAATTACGTATTACGCGGATGTGATTAAAAGATTGAATATGGTTTCATATTTGAAACGAATATTTTTAGAAATAAGATCATTAGTAATTTATATTCTGATTTCCTTAAAACAATATGAAAATGAAAGAAAAATGCATTTTATTTATTGAAATAAATAAATGAAGAAATTTTAAGTAATATATAATAAGTTATATATAATTATGACTTAGTATTGATTATTATATTCGATAAAATATTTATTTTTTGTTTTTTCGTGATATATTTTCGCATATCTAAAAAATATAAAAATTGAAGCTCATGTAATTGTCGTTATTGATACGAACATAAAAAAAAAAAGATTAATCGAACTCATTGAGATTAATGAAATTAAAAAGATTATTATATCGAAAACTAAAGCATTAGGTTTCCTCTAAAAAGAAAAAAGTAAACATAAACTTTCATCTTATGAAATGTAAAAAAAAATGATTTTATATTCGAATCGATATATATGTCAAGAATTTGACCTTAATTGACGAAATATAATTTTTTTTTATTAAATCGTAAGTATGTTGTAACGTTGGAACAGTCTAAAAGATTTTTCCATTAAAATGATATTGTTTGTAAAAATATTCATATTTCAAATGAAGTAGTAAGTAAATATTTTATTATTTCACCATTTATTGACCCATATTGGTATCATAATTGTAAAACAACAATCTATTATTCATATTCAGAAAGAAAAGATTTATTATATTTAATATTTATCATATTGTTGGAAAAAATTCTCTAACATAAATCTTTTATTGTTCTCTAAAGAAAAGAATGGTATCAAACTTGAGAAATGAGACATAAAAATAATTTATAAATTAATAATGAGTTTTTTATATCATTTTTTAAATAGATAGTCAGATTATTAAATTTCTATTCAAACTTTCTATTCTTGTGACAAGTAAAATACCATCGCATCAATAAATTATTGATCTTGAAATTCATGATTATTCAAGATATATTTCTTCATTCAAAATATCTATCGATTTCAAAGGCCATGATCACTTATTGTTAGCAATGACGCATCTTTATATTCTTGACTGCGGTTCTTTACCTATGTACCATTTATGTACATTATTTCGAAATTGATAGAGATAAATCTTAAAAATCTTAAAAGTTTTTTTAAACAAATTAATGTAATATGAAATCTTAAATGCAATGAAGATAGAGTAGAAATCCCACTTTATCTAGCACGGTCAAAGATCAAGAAATTAAATTAACCAGCCAGTTTATATACTTGGTACAATTTAACACAATGCCAGTACAGATCTTTGTGAACGAAGATGACGAAGTTAATAGTGCTGCTTTTTCTATTTGTAAACTGTCAAGTACTGTTTTGCACTGTTCATGAGACACCTGGTAATAAATCTTAAAAATCTTTAGTACTATTGAAGCAACGAATATCGAGTTGTATTAAATGTGCAAGTATTTCGATACTTTTTTCAATAATAATTTCAGTGTTTCGAATTAGCGAAGCTTTAAACTAGATTCTATAAAATTCAATCATTATAAATCAGCTATCGCTGCTTGCTTTTTTCTTCACCAATTTTTTCTAATGAAATGATTCTATTGCATGGATTATAAATATTGTTATATAAATATATATTAATAGATGCATGATATAATCAATTTCTTTTTCTTTATCTTTTTTAATTCTTAAAAAATTTTTCATTGTTATTTCATTAAGAGTTCAATTATTTGACACTATCGTATTCAATACAATTCTAAAGATTTTTTTGTAAATTTTTAAAATAGTTCAATAATTCAAATTTGCATCTAATTTAAAAAATTTTACTAGTAATGAAATTCTGATTAAAATTATAATTGTTTAAAAAAATATAGAATGATATTCATTCTCATTTATGTCATCATCGATCTATTTTTTTTTTTGTTTATACAACAAATTGTACAAAATATTCAAGAAAAGATTTCACTGATTGATTCGTAATGTCAATAATATTTATTTATTGTCCTATTATCGTTATTATTTAATTGATATATATCGATACAAAGTATTTTAATTAATAATCAGTTTGCTTGATATTATTATTTTTTGCATAATCGATTAAAAAACTAAATTAACTTTTAAAAAGTATGAAAATATGACAATGACAATTATATTGATGTTATTCACCCATTAAAATCAAAAATAATTTACCGTAATTATAAATAACGAGATTTGATCTTTCACAGGAAATCATTATTTTAATTATTATCACGTGTAATTATTTTCAATGTTAAAATGAGAAAGAGATAAAGAAAAAACATGGCAAAATAACTTCCAGAGTAGAAAAAGTGAAGATTTTTTAATAAAAAATTTTTTTTTTATAAAATTATATTATTATTAATTTGTTAATTTTTTTGTTAACTTAGTACGCCCAAAGATAATATCGAGATCAGAATGGGGCGCCAGAAAACCGACGACAACTATACGAGCACTTGCACAAAATCCTGCGCCATTTGTTATAATTCATCATTCGGCGACAGATAGTTGCATCACTCAAGCAATTTGTAATGCAAGAGTGAGAAGCTTTCAGGTAAATTAGTTCACAAATCTTTTCCATTTATTGAATACAAAATTCAAACAAGCAATTAATATTATAATGTTATATAATATTAAATTCAAAAGATCGAAAATAAATAAAAAGATCTTTAAAATCGATCAATAAATCAATATTGTGTAAATTAATTCTATTATATAACGAATTCTCTTGAAAAGATTAAGTTGCTAAAATGAATGTGTAATAGTTTCGTCTTTTTACTATTTCATTTTTCATTTCAAATTTCAAGAATATTAAAGAATACATAAAAAATACTCAAAGTTTTTTACTTTTTTTTAATTATCATATTTAGAATTATCACATAGATGAGAAGGGTTGGGGTGAAATAGGCTATCAATTCTTAGTTGGAGAGGATGGAAACATTTATGAAGGAAGAGGATGGGACAAACATGGTGCACATTCGATACCTTATAACTCGAAGAGCATTGGAATTTGCATAATTGGTAATTTCGTTGGTAAGTAAATTGTATAGTGGAATATAAAAAGACACTAATTAATATTTAAAACTTAATTATTTAAGTATACGCTATTATCAAAATTATTATCAAAAATATAATCTAAAATTAAATCTGTTATATATTTTTAATAAAATTTACTTAAAATAGCATATAACTTGAAGTGAAATATGTGAAATAAATATTACAAGAAATTTCTTAAAAAGTTCTTATATGAATTTAGTCTCATTTTATTTCTTCTTTTTTTTAAATTTAATCAATTTTTGTTTATTTTATTTGTTTATTTAGGCCATGTACCAAATGCAGCAGCTATAGAGGCAACTAAAAATTTGATCTCATATGGTGTAGCAATTGGGAAGATACAAAGCAATTATACGTTACTTGGCCATCGACAAACAACGCACACTTCTTGTCCAGGCAATAGTCTATACGAATTGATAAAAACATGGCCACACTGGTCCCCGATTTAAATATTAAATTCCATCCCAAAATATTGTTATATAATTTATTTTATATAATATATATAATACATATATATTTTTTAATGGAAAATTTAAAAGAGAAGATAATTAAATTATTTTAATTTTGTATATTATTATAAAAATATCAATGAAGTATTCTTTTAAATAATTTATACATAGAGAGTCACTATGCCATTCACTGAATTATCGTAAGTATCTTCCTCTGTTCTTACGCAAATATCTATGTGAGAAAAATCGGGTGAATTCGTTTTAACATCGTTGTAATGACTTCTGTCTCTAGCCTAAGAAATAAAGTGTGATTATGTTGCAAAAAAAGAAAAAAAGAAAATAAAAAAGCATTTAAGTTTAATTTAACTCAATGATACCTGAAGTGGAATCTGTCGCAGAAATTTTGCATTTAATTCTGGAATACACAATTTTGTGCCATATGGTATCCCTGAATCGAGATCCATTGAAACGGTTACGAATTCTGTGCGCCCATCAAGAAAATCCTATGATTTAATATTAATATTTTTTTTTAGTAATGTATAGTAATAACTTTTTAGTAATGATTTTTTTAGTAATTATAACAATAAAATATCTTATTTAATATAATATAATATAATATAATATATAAAGTATCTTATTTATATAATATGAATAAATTTTTTTTTCCTTATTAGCAAAATTAAATCAAACCTGCAGAGTTCTCAATTTCTTCATCTTAACATCCAAATAATCTGATTCGTTGTCACTATCAAATACAGGATAATAAGCTGTCAGTGTCACATTATAATGAACACGACCAGTACACTCGAGATCTGTTTTACTCAAGCATTTTTCTAATATGAATTAACTCTATCAGAAAAATATATAAAACACGAATGAAAATTTATATTTAAAAAAATTTATTGTTTTATAATTACCACTAGCAAAAATGGATGAAACAAGGAGCACTGTGAAGGAAAAAATTAATATCTGTTTTTCCATTCTGTCAATAGCAAGTCACAACTTTATATCCCAAGATTGGCAGTACAGCACATCGATGTAATAACTGGGTCTGTCGCTACGATTTATAAAACATACTGTGTAAGCTGATGTGTCAACCATTGGAATTTGTCAATCTTTCAAAAATCGAAAGAAGAAACATCGTATACGATTAACTTTAAATTTACAATTATAAATAAAATAAAAATATAGATCCATTAAATTTTTTATAATTTAAGTTATTTTTCAATGTATGTTACATCGAAAGTATATATTTATTCATATAATGAAAGATTAATTGATTATTGTGACAAAATCAGCAACAATGCATATAAACATAAAAGAAAAAATTTTAAATTCAAAATCTTTAACAAATATATTTGTTTATTCATCTTTATTTTATTATTTCATTATTGTATTAAATATAAAGTACTATAAAAAGATTCTGTGTGTAAATTATATATTTTTTTTCAAATTTTTAAATTATATATTTTTTATTTCTTTTTTTTTTTTTCCTTTAAATATAGAATATAGTATGCTTTAAGAAGTATATAATTAAACATGTTAAAACATTGATCACAAAACTTCATTATCCTCTTCATTATAACATCGTACAACTACTATATTCTTTCTGAATAATAAAAACCGTGTTTGACTGGGACACGTGGAAAACTACTGGTTGCTAGTCGACCAACAGACACTTTAGCATTCGTATGTGTTTTATCGTGAAAATTTTCATAACAAGTTCTCATTATTACAGTGAAATGTAAATTATAAACCATTGAAAAGATTTCTCGTTAAAAGATCACTTGCATAAGAATTTGGTTGCAAAAATTTTTATTAAAATGACGTAACGCAGAGGACATAAAAATGGTTTGTTGACGTGATTTGTTGAAATATATTTTTCGCAATTTCATCTTTTTTTCGCTTCATCCACATTCATACTTTATATTATTTTTCTGTGAAATTGCTAATTTATTAGTGCGATGTGAAATTATAAAAATTATATTTAATAGTGTTTCGAAATCGAATGAAACTTCGATATTAATTAATTATAATAATAAATAATAAATTATAATAATAAATAAATATTTTCCAAGACAATCACACCTATTTAATAATCGCATATCTCATCAACGGTCACTGGACAAGATTCATGCAACGTACATGATCGATATGTCATTGCTCCAGAGGATCGATTCTGGTCGAGTTGCAAGCTAAATAAGTAAACGAGGTAAACGATAAGGAAATGGACAAAACATTAAATTTATCTTGAATGTTATAGACGATAATCGTTAAATCTGGATTGTTCCAAGATAGATTGAAAGGTTGATAAATAAAAAATATGTGTCCCGTTCTTTTGTTTTTTTTTTTATTGAAGAGAATTGTAATTCGAAAAACACGATTGATAAATATTTATAAAGCAAGTTTTATGTAAAGTATACGCTTAAATGTGAATCAGTTTGTTTAATTATTCAACTTGTAGATATTGAATTATTTTCTTTTTTCAGAGTTTGTTTCTTTTTTTTATAAAGGAATTTTTACATAATGATTTTTACACTGTGTGTAATGGTTTTTGCAGTTGAAACGATTAAGAATTATCGACTAATTTACAAGTGTTCGGTTTCTAAAAATAATTCGATCCGAAAGGGGAATTACCGAACAAGTTGTTGGCCTTGTTCAGTTTTATCAGCCGGAGTGACGAGTATTCAAGGATCACCGTTTTGTTTTCTTTAGCTATTAACATATTTATTTAATTATTTGATGAATTAAGTAAGGGGATTCACTAGATTTAAAAGAGGAAAGCAAATTAATAATAAAATAAATAGATATAAAGAGCATCAAATTGATGAAATATGTTCGGCAGATTGAATAAGATGAAACATTCATATACAGAGAGAAATATATTACGATCTTCAAAAACATCCTTTATAAATTTTTCTTCTGAATTTTTCAATCGACGATTAACGAATCGATCATATTTTCATTATTTATATTACATAAATTAACCTATACAAATTTTCTTCTCATTTATCATCTAAATATATCTTTTCAACTTAAAATCGATCTTCTGAAACTTCCTCTAATTATAATCTAATTACGACCTATATCATAATTATTGTCTTAGCGAAGAAAAAAAAAAAAAGAAAGAAAAAAATAATGTTCCACTTCCTCGTTATTTTTTTCCAATAACATCTAGCGAATGTCCAGTCTGGATGACCCGGTGAATTCTATGGAAACGTGTTCACAGGTGGCGTCGCGACGCCCTGAATCGACTTCATTCGCGACTCTTCCTCGTATCGCGCACGTTCTCTTTTCTAACTCTGCCGCGATTCAATTCACTGTTTCGTATCACTGTGAAGCTTTTCCTTGTGTTGCGCCATGCCGCGAATATATAATCTCGACATGACAATTCTATGAAGTCGATCAGGTAATTCCTCGATTCATCGGTGAATGATCGACAAAAATAAAGATGATAATGCATGATGCACACATTTGTTCGCGATTTTGTTTACAGTTAGATGATATCTTTGCACACATTGTCGTTTTGATCTATGCACTTTTACTTTGTATTCCATTCTTTTTTTTTTTTTTATTCCTTTTTTTAAATTAAAATTCTTATACGTTGAGAAGTATAATAGTTGAAATGTATTTTTCAGGATAATTATTTGATTACTCATTTCAGTATGGCTTCACTTTGTTTTATGACTAACTTAACACGTTGAGACGAGAGATTTCCTTGTATTTTATTTTAATAAATAATAACGAATGATACAAAAGTATGACTCGTGTTTGAAAGATTAATCTTCTAAGTTCTTAGATAAATCTTCTAAGTCTGGATTTATTATTAAAGTGAAATGTCCAAAGAATGAAATATTGCAAGAATTATCATTTTTAAAAAATATTAAAATGATGTTTCTTTGAATTGATTTACATAAACGTAATGTATCATCCACATGTACTATTTAGCAAAATATACGAAACATATCTTTTGTATTCTTGCGAATTTTGTAATGCAAATGAAACATGCAATTTGCGTTACGATAACGTTACATTAGATATTTGTGTTACATTTGATTTCACACGCGACCAATGAAGTAGTAGTAGTTGTAACAGGAAAAACGAAATTGGAAACGAAATTACTTTGACATATTATTTTTTATGCAAGTAATATTCTTTTTTGGAAATAATTTTATAAGCAATAGTTAAAAATTGAATGTAAAAAGAATTATAAATGCTGCAACATCTTTAAACTTTGTCACAAATTTTCATCTTTTATTTGTTGATAATATGTTGTTAAAAATACTTTTTTTTCTTTGTTAATTGATGAGAGATAAAATATTGAAAAAAATATATTGAAATAATAAATTTTAATATAATAAATTGTGAAAAAATAATAATATTTTGATAATTTTAAAAAATTGTGTTATTGAAAATCTTTGTTTTTGCATTTTGTATACAATTTCCTATTCTTTATTAAATATTATATCTTATTAATCGTGATCATAGAATAAACATATCTATATTTATTAAAGATAAAAAGAATACAAATTTTACAAATTTTTCTCAACTTCAATTTATGTATGACTTTCATCATATGAATCAAGAACTTTTATCTTTGGAATTTTAAAGAAAAGTAAAGAAGAATTTCTATTTTTTTAAATATTATTCTATATAAAAATTAGAATATATTATTAAATAAAAATGCGTATATATAAAATATATAAAATTAAGAAAAAATTGTTATAAATTCTTTAAAATATCGATAATAATCCATATATAAAAATAATATTTGCAATTTATTCATGAATCTTAAAATTGTTCATTGATAATTTTATCTTGTTAATGCATTATGGAAAATTTTTATAAACGAATCGTATCGTGTCTAATAATCTGTGATTCGATATGCTTGGTCACACAGAGTTTCGATTGGATAAGCTTGATGGAGAATCAATAGTGAGCATTTCAAGAATTGATTCATGGTCACGTATTAATGGGTAGATTATTACTTTCTAGATAAAAGGTTTCAAAATTTAATTATTTTCCACAAACATACGCACAATCATTAATTTATGAAATTGTTAAAATTTTATTTAACAAATTTTTCATTTTCCATTTTCATGAATTCCAACAAATTCAATATTTTCAACAAAAATTCCATTCAAGTTTTAACATTTAATTGTTTTTCTTTAATTTAAAACAATTAAATTAATTTATAACAATTAAAATTTAATTTAATTTTTGTAAATTTTTAAAAACCATTTACATTAATATTAATTTAATTTTCAGATACAAATGAATGCAACAATATTAAAGTCTTGGCTACTACGAGGAGAATTTGAGAAATTGGAACATGTTGTCCTAGAAGGACGTGGAGCACGATTGTTGGGTGAAGTTTCCCCAGATCTTAGAACTAGAGTCTTCCTAAAAGGACTCCCAAATTATTTGGTATGGCGTATATTTTTTTTCTAATTAATTTAATAAAAATTTAATTTTTATGAAGTCATCTAATTTTTATATATCGTTTCTTTCTTTTCACAGACAAAAATATCTCACATGCATGATGCAGTTTCACGTGGATCTTTGATAGAAGCGCAAAAACTTATATTCGAAGAGCCTAAAAAGAAATTGGCCATTGCCAAAGATCCAGCTGGTACTCCTTTGCTGCACAAAGCAGTATATCACGATCATCAAGATATCGTTGAGTGGCTTGTGCAAAATTATCCTATTACCATTCAACAGAAAGACAGAGTAATTTTTATTATAAATTTCTATGAATTTTCAATTTCTGTTTGACTTTTTTTATTGCATGTCTTTTAAAATTTTTCAATATCTTTTTATCATAATTTCATATACAGTTTGAAATATTTTTTTTTTATTAATATTTTACAATTTTTAAATAATTTTCAATTTAAAAGATGTTTTATTTGTCAATGATTCAAGTAAATTCAAAGCATCGTAATATTTTTCTCTTATCATATCTAAAAATTATGTACTCAAGTATCTATCTCTTCTTTTTTCTTTCTATTTATCACATTTTTAATTCACATTTGTGTACAAATCGTAAAATAATATACTATAAAAAAGAAAAAGATAAGAGATGAGATCTAATTTATTTCACCTAATTTTTATTCTCAACAGAGATTATAATAATTCTCACATTAAAATTATCTTCTCCACTTTATATTTACATTATACCCTATATAAATAAGAAATAAACAGAGATACATTAGATAATTATTTTTAATAAGCATCATCAATTATTCTCGCAACATTTACAACATTTGCTTTATCGATCGTTAAAACGTGAATCTCGATGAATGAATTAAGTTAATTTGCTTATCCATTTATTGCAAGATCGTTCTCAAGGCTGTCGTGACGATGGTGTTTACGCTTCATCCGAGATATCCAAACGGTGAATAATCGAAAAGGCAGTTTTTCGTAAGGACGGTCGTCTTTTCTGGATCGCGTGACACGGCTAATGGCAAAGTGTAAACCACCTGTTCTTCCCTGCAGCCATCCGGCTTCGCGTCCAGGCGCACGCAGCGCCTTGAATATGCCAACCGCTAGCTTCTCACCCTTTTTATCCACCCCTTTGATCTCGATTCAACCTTTATTACTCGCCGTTTAACCGTCGCCGACTTCGCGTTTTACTCCGCCGTTCCCCTGGGATATTAATTCCACTATAATGTCGCGTTTTTTATCATCGACAATTGTCTCTCGGTGAAATTATTTCGAACAAAACGTTTATGAATTGAACAATAAGTTAAGTAAATATTAAATTTGAATTTATTCTATTCTCGCGTCTGATCAATATGGTCAACTTAATTATAAGCTGTCGATAATTTAAAAAACATGAATGTGGAATAAGAATTTTCTATGATTCTTTTCTTAATTTCAATAGTAGTTTGGGAAATTATAAATTTTATAATTTTTATAAACATTATAGTTTAAGTTTCTTCGAGTAGAAATTTATTAATAATTAAGTTTCATAGATGAAATGGCGTCTCAAAAAATATGATCAAATTAATATGTTGTTTGTTATAGATAGATTTCAAATTGAAATTGAAATTGAAATTTTGCTTGATTTTGATTTCTAGGAAGGGAGAACAGCATTGCATTACTGTGCCAATTGCAAGGATCCTGAAGCAATTTGGGATGTTCTCATAGAAAACGATTGTGACGCGAGTATCATCGACAAAAGGGGTAATCCTGCGGCTTATTATTTGGAGCATAGCTCGGAAATTGAGCTACCGGAAGTGGAGAACATGTCGCGCCGGAAGACCAACTCTGGCAAAGAATGTGAGCGATTTCGATTATTTTTATGCTTTTTAGAATTCATATTGATTTCATACTGATAAAGTAAGTAAAGAAAAAAAATATTTTCAAAGACATACACAGACAAAAATCTTTAATAAGTTTATTTTATCGAACAACAACAATTAAAATAGATCACTGACAACCTTGCAAAACTTCACTTCGTTCATTTCCCACTTTTAATGGTTATACATTCCTTGACTTATACCCTATGGATTCTTCTCGGTAATGACTCGAAAGAATCAATAAAACTTAAATTTATAAAGCAAGGAAAACTGTTTCGATCGATAGGATGAGACACATTCTCATAATTGTTAATCGATTGACCAACGAATTATTTAGGAATCTTCAAAAGTTTACTAAATGCGTCGAAAATTATTAAGATGCGAATTTCTAATTCTATTCTTCTTATATTCATTCGGTAATAATTCTGTTCCATGTTCACGAGTGAAATTCTAGTAAGACGTTATATAAAGGAAAATTACAAGCTATCGCGTGTTGTAAATATATTTCCTTTGAGAATCGACAAGCGAGGTATTTCCTGAAAAATTTTTATTCCTCCATTAGATTTTGAATGGTAAATTGTTCGAGGAAAATGCGATAAATGATTGGACAAAGTTGAAATTGAATTTTCTTGGTAAAAAAAGCAATCAATTTTATAAAAATTTTATAATTTTCGAATGATTCAATGCTTGCGACGAAATAACTTCATTGAACTTGTCGCACGGAATCGTGAATAACCCAACTCGTTGTATTATTAAGGCTAACGATATAAGATTATAATTAAATCGATAGATCTTGGTAGATAGACGTTCACCTATTACAAACGAATAATTTATTCTACGTGATAACTCGTATGAATTCAACTTTACAATGAGTGTAATACGTACAACGTATACTGACATTTCTGCCAACATTGATTGATCTATTTATTAAGGAAACAGGGAATACTGCAAACGTGTCAGTGAGTGACGAGGTCCGTGCACTCGGTTAACTTATCAAAAATTTATTAATTCACCGATAGAACACGCAATCTAAGTCGATTAAAAGACAAAGCATGCGCGTATGTAATTTTAATTAAATCGAATTATTTACATTTCAAATTTTTCCCTCTAAATTAAATTGATTATTTATAATTTCTTATAATATTGTTTAAATAATTTTTATCTTCTATCCTATTTTACGATTAATTTTACGAATTATTGATTATTATTATCGAAGCAAATATATTTTCATGAAATTTTATTATTAATTTTTTCTTTCTGTTTTGTTTTATTTTTTTTTTTTTTTTTNTTTTTTTTTTTTTCTCAGAAACAATTGAGCACTCGATAATTAACCATATGACTCGAGTCATAAGTGCTTTTAACACGTAAAAAAGACATTGCGCGATTATTGACGCGCAATTTTTCGTTAAAAATGTCAACACAAGATATCTCGTTTAATTTCCCCAGCGTCGTTATTAAAGTTAAAGTTACGCAAAAAAATAAATGATTCATTGATAGTATTGTATGTCGTAAAGATATCTATTTAATTGCAACACATTTTACAATTTCAATTTTTTTTATTAATTCTGATCAAGAGAAGAAACAAAGAGATATATATAATAAATTATCGATTAATAATTGATATTAAGAGAGAAAAGTTACAAATCTCATAAGTTTTTGATTCCAAGTTTCAATAAGGAAACAATGTTGAACATGAAATCGATGTTTGCTGCTAAAAGAAATCCCCGAGTATCTAAAATATTTATCACGTTTCCTCAACACGCGATGTACACTTTACAAATCTTGTCACTTATAAATGTTTAATGAAGTCATATCTCAAATAGGAAAAGGTCATATCATTAAAACTCATACTTTGGTACTTATTTTCCTTTCATACTTATTTTTAAGTGACATTTTTAAGTCACCTTTTGTTTTCGAAATTTAATATTCCAGTTTATTTGAAAATGCCACTCATGCACTTTCAATGAAATTTTTATACTTGAAACATGTTGAATTAAATTATCGATCAAACATTATTCTTTAATGAATTAAACAATACAATAAATAATAAAAATATAAAATACACAGAATGTGTCATCTGATTACCATTATAAATTGTAAATTTATATTAAAAAGACATAAAATATTTTTATTATCGATTTTCCTTCGAAAGAGGACAATTTAAATGAAAAATTTTTCAATTTAAATCAAATTTGAGAATTTTTCGATCAATTTTGAAAATCACTTTATTATATTTTCGAGCAAAATATTACTCCAAACATTATTCCTTAGGCTTAGACTTCAAGCCTTCGAATATAAGAATATGGATTCACAATCGAGACATAGGAAAACTGCAGCAGGTTTTGTGGGAGGGTCATGGGAACAAATTACGTATGGAGACCAGCAACAACACTCGAGTGAAGAGATTTTTAGAAGCTGTACCGTTCATTATGGTTTGTCCAATATTTCTTCTTTATCGATTCTTTATCCATTTTTAAAAATATTTCTCATTAATATAAAATATCTGTGTTACAGGGGACCGTGAAAGATGTTCACACATTCGTAATAAATAACGATTTAGAGGAGCTCGAGAATAAAATAGAGGCCACGTCCCCAATCGTTCTTTACGGCAAAGATGGCAACGGTTTGAACGTCTTGCATAAGGTACGAACGTAACAATTTTATTACTTTAAATTTATTAATTCTTTTTCTTTTAAATGTTACGATAAATATTTGATATGATTCGATAATCAACAGGCTTGTGGCTTGGGGTACACGGAAATCGCAAGAAATATCCTCGCGAAATGCCCTTCCGTTGTGGAAGCTCAGGAGAATGATGGAAAGACTCCATTGCATTACGCGGCTGCAGCCAAGGATGATGGAACTTTGTATAATTTGTTAGTCGAATACGGAGCTGATGAAAGTAAACTAGATAACGTGAGTACTCCATGCGTGAATTTTTCGATAATTTATAAAAATATGATTAAACGTTTCATTTTTATTACGAAATTACGAAATTTATTGGTGAAATTTTGTAACCAGAGATTAAAGGCGCCAGCATTTTACAAAAATCGACCATCGGACATAGACCAATCACTGTTAAACGTGATACCGGAAGCGCCTCGAGTTGCAGGGACGTCGTATCCTAAACATTGGGACTGGAGGATTTTGGACGCGGAGGAATTTATACTTAGAGGAATGAAGAAGGTTAACAGCGCGGATATCGATAGTGCATTTGGCAGCGCGGAATCAGCACCGAAAAATCTCAGCAGATCCATGGAACAGGTAGTTTTAATATAATTGTTAATAATTTCTTTCAATGGCGAAATTTACTTTACTCGAAAATTTCTTGAATTAATTTTCTAAAAAAAAAAAAAAAAAAAAAAGAACAGAAAACATTCAGATTGAACAAAGACTGAACAAAGAATTCTTAAAGAATCAGATGTTTCGATCATTTTATTGAGCAGATAAAAAACGTCGAGGAAGATCAAAAAGACGAAGAGGAAAACGCGGAAGACGCGGAGGATGCAAAGAACGAGGAAAACGCGGAATCTGCTGAAAATCCGGAGGATACCAAAAACGAAGAAAATGATGCGGAAGATGCGGAAAACGGGGAAGATGTGGAAAACGCGGAGAAGATGGAAGAAACGGAAGAGGCTGAGGTGGCGGAGAATCCAGAGCCGGAAACCGCGGAAGAGGATAACGAGGAACAGGGAGCAAAGGTCGAAGAAACGGAAGAGAAGTCGTCGGATGACGACGTGGTGACAGGTGCAGAGATGCAAGAAACGGAGGAGAATCCAAAGAATCCGGAGAACGAGGATGAGGAGGAGAGAGCGGAGGAACCGGAAGGTGAGGATAAAACCGAAGAGGATAAAGAGGAAGCAGAGGAATCGCAGAAAGAGGAAGAGGGGAACGAACAGGAGGAGGAGAATAAGACGGAGCAAGAAGAAAGAAAAGAGCCCAGTACTGGTGATTCTGGTGTCGATGATCCCGGAAACGAGGAAGACCAGGTACAGTCATCATAAATAGTCATCATAACACTAGACGAGTCGAATTTTTACGAATTTCTTAGCACAAAACAGAAATTACATCATCAACCTTGTATCGTTGAGCGAGAAGTAAGATATGAAATAAGTAATATTATAATTTAAACGAACTTCAACTTCAAATAGTTAATTATATAAGTGAAAGATTATTAAAGATTAAAAAAATATAATTGACTCTTTTGATTGTTTGTTCATGTTTAGTCAGCCAGCTTGTAGATATAACGAGGAATATACATTTGCGATTGTAGATGACAGGATATAATTAGAGTATATCATGTATATTGAAAATAAGAAATGATCGATATGGAGATTATTATATGTTCTTTGTCACGCACAAATATATAATAATAAATAAATGACTGAACAAGGAACTTCTCTTATAACTTATGCACAGACCCATAAATTTATTTTTTTGTTTTTTTATTTAATTTTATTTGACATAGTAAAAGATATACAAATTGTTTTCCATTTTTTTAAATATCTAATCTTTTTAACAAATTTATGAAATATATATTCATAAAATATATATTTTATAAAATATTCTTTCTACTTTAAAAAAAATTAAATATCTTTTTTATTTCAATAAAATTGTTGTCACGCCATTATTCACTGTTTACGAGATACTATCTTATCTTATTTAAATATAAAAGTACTCCCAATAGAATTTTATTTTTCTATCCTATCTAACATCACTTTTTTTATATATTACTTTTCCATTCTACAAATACAAACCACATTAAAATTTCCATTCTATAAAATATAAGAAACCAAAACCTATCTTCAAAATAATTAATATGATTCACGTAACAAATCAAAAAAACGAATCGAAACAATTTTATTGCTCCACATTAATACTATTCCAAAATAAACTTGTGTGAAAAATATGAATGCCAAAGAAACAACTAGTTTCGATCGCATTTCACACTAAAGCGTGCACACGCACGACGAAACGCAAAGTAGGCGAGAATTATCGATTTACCGTATTTAGATTGTCACGTGAGATTAATATTTTGCTGTATCGATCGTCGGGTTATGACGTTCGTGCGCATGGTTTTGCACTTGGAAATGATCAGCAGGTGATCGTCGGCGAACACGAGGAGCTTCCGGAAGCAGACTTGAACGAGGGCACGATGACGGCCGATCCCGAAATCGAGAAGCTGCTGGAGACCGGCAACATGGAGCAATTAGCCGCGCTGGTGCTCAATGGCGAAGGTAGAAGATTGGTTGGTAGGCATTCAGGGAATACCGAGCTGCAGACGTTCATCGATCGTGTCCCTTCTTACATGGTAATATAAAAAAAAATATTGCTCGCCTCGTTTCGTTTCTATAAACATATATATCTTATTAGAAGCAAGAATGATTCGATACAAACCGGTTTTTTAACTTGTCCATCCATGAGATAGCTTGTAGATGTAGACTGTTTATGACTTGTGGTTGTGGTTTCTGTATGGTTGGTGTAATAAATTTTGCATTACATAAATTTATCGAAGATTAATGAAGTAAATAATCGATTTTTCGCCTCAAATAACAAGTGATAGAGTATCGTCTATCAATAGGGGAAAATTCATGCTGTGCACATGGCAGCGCGAGAAGGGAACCTGAGGGATCTACAAAGCGCCTTAGATCGTCGCAAATTTGCAGTTGCAAGAGATGAATCATCGCCACGTGGGGCAACGCCTCTTCACGTTGCAGTGATATTTGGAAACACTACTATTATTAGGTAAATTAAAAACAAATAATACATCTACGTTTCATCAATATAAATGCCATATTAATTTTCGTTACGTGTATTTTCAATTTTTCTTATCAATTACATTAACATTTATGAAATGGAACAATTTGATTGGAATAATTTTTCATAACAAGAGAGACAATGAAACGATAATGAAATTATATTGAAAAATTGTATCGTAACGTTTCACAGAAGATTAAAAGCGCAAGAATAAAATGAATTGTCTTCTTCGTTCATCGTGGATTATCGATTTCTTTATTCGACTTGTTTAATCTTTTATGTTTTCATTAGATATCTAGCAGGCAGGTTTCCAGAAACTACTCATGCAATCGATCTCGATGGCCGAACACCTTTGCACTATGCAGCTACTCTAGCGGACAACGGCCATTATTATAACCTTCTACTTCACCTGGGTGCCAATCCTTTAGTTCAAGACAACGTGAGTGCAATCTTAATAATGATGATCCATTGTTTCCAATAGAAATCGGCATGATTTACGAAAAATTATATTCTCTATGATATAATACTCTCTCATTCGTTTCGTTGATGTCGATATATTTTTCTCTTTATCATTATTGTTCGCATAGTTCGGACAAAAAGCGGATTATTACAAACAAGACCAGTCCGAATTCTCTCACAAATCACTCCTCCGCGATTTCGGAGCTAATGAGAAGTTGGCCGACGAGATATTGACGGATAAAGGTATTTCATTCGAACGAGGGCACTTACGAGCACCATCGATCACTCCTAATGAATCTGTACTACGATAGTTTAAGGCACTATACGTACTTTCTTTTGAATATAGAAAATCTAAACTACAAACGTCTCATTATCCAATAGTACGATCACTGATTTATTTAGTTATGTTTCAATCACCTTGCTTTCTCATACGTGTTACCATCGTCTCAAATCAATCACGAATAATTAATGATCACAAATTTATATAATTTTCTATAATATATAATAATTGAAATTATTTGTCCTACAAGCAATCACAATTTAATAAGAAACTAAATGCTAAATCCAAAAGGTTCTAAAATTTTCCAAGATCCTCTAAAATCAACTAAATCAATATCAAATTAATTGGCATAAAACCATTGCTGTTAACGATCCATCCTGTTAAAAAATTTCCTCATTGATTTATCTCCGCGGCTGTTTCCACCCGGACGTCCTCGCTCTCAATGGCCGAAAAACGAAGTTTCTGGAGGCGACGTCTATTCCTCGCGCCGAGACTTAAACGAACCGGAGACCCTAGCTACCCTGGAGAGATGTTTCCGTCTTCTGATCGGCGCGAGACACGGTACGACACCAAAATCGGCTGGGAACTCCGGTACATTGATCGGTCGTTGCCTGAAACGGCCTACATTCGATCGTATCAAGCACCGTGTGACACGCATGGACCACAATCTCTTTGATGTGATCTGGCCTGCTTTTAAGAAATACGATAACTCGAATTACAACAGCAACGCGAGCAGCGCTTATTCCGTGATCAGCAACATCACGGACGAGGACGAGTCGTTGTCCGTGGTCGCGCCGGATTACGAGAGTTACATCGTGTTCGCCGAGTTCTTCGACCCTTTAATCAGAGACCTGCATTGCGTGACAGCCAGCGGTGATCTGCCCGATCACCCTCTGCCGAGATTCTTCTACGAGGACGAAGAGGGCGAGGAGAGTCACGATACACTGGACGAAGTGACCGTGTCCTCGATCAATGCGTACGATCTCGATCCTCTGGCCAAATACGTTCAAGCCGGTGTGATAGAGTGTTGTAGAAATCTGGAGAATTATACTCTTCCGTTGACGCTGACGGTGAACCAGCTCGAGGAGGTGGAACAAGAGATCACCAACCGACTGATGAGCCAAGAGATCTCGACGATGATAGCCGAGGGTAGCAGCGAGGACGAGGCCGGATCTTACTTCACCCTCAACGAGATCCTGGACCAGCCGAGTCCTATTAGAGCCCAGCTGGCTGCAGCTGGTCTACTTTTGCCGATCACCGACTTCGAGGTTATCCACGACGATAAACGTCTCCACGGGAAGCATTGGCCTTACGGTCGAGGTGTGTACGTGGCTTCTGCCGGCGACCTGGCTATTTGGGTTAATGTTCAGGATCATCTGAGGATCGTTTCTCGGACAAGTGACACAAGGCCTGGCTTGATCGGCCACGCCTACGCGAGAGTGGCGAAATTGATGATGGTGTTCGATTCGAAATTGAAATTCAAGAGGGACAAGAAGCTGGGCTTCCTAAGTGCACGTCCCTACGCAATTGGCAATACTCTTAGATTTAACGTGATAATCAAATTCCCCGAATTGTCGAAGGAATTTGATCATTTGAAGCATCTGTGCGTCGTTCGAGGGCTAAGTATACGGGAGACGGCGAAAAGGGACACGGTACGAATCGGTAATCAACAGTCGTTGAGCATCACCGAATTGCAGACCCTTCAAGATTTCTCGAGGGCCGTGCTCAATGTTCTAGCGTTGGAGAAGGAATTGTCGATAAACAGTTCGTTGAAAATTGCCACCTTGATCGCGGGACTTTTTCGTAAACGAAACAGCGTCAAACAGCGTTTTCAGAATTGAAGAGAGGGAGGAAAATCGATAAACGAAAGTCTTTATTTTTCATCAACTCTTTATAATTATTATATTTGTATCTTCTTCTCCTTCTTCTCTTTCTTCTTTTTTTTTTTTTTTTTTTTTTTCATAAAATAACGGAACAATACGCTTATACATGGAATCCTTCTGTGATAATTCACGAGCCAACACGTTTGACTGTCTTATTATCTCCCATCAGACTGAGACAATATATATATATATATATATATATATAGGGGAGATATGTATGTTGAGAATGAAAGAGACAAGAGAGACGTTGGAAAGATGTGTGTGAACGTTATTCTATTTCTCGTGCGACGAATATGAATATGATACTTAAATGATTAACTACTAGAGGAACAACTGGATTATTCATTAGGTTAGTAGAACGAACAGTTATTGGTACATGAACAGTACGCTTTGACATGTTGTCGCACGACACCATGCTTACGTGAAAATGTGTATAAATGTACCTGAAACGGAAATTTACAGGGATATTCGTTACATATAAAATGTTCTAGAAGATTGGAAGAATAAAAATAGAAAATGGCGGGAATTTAAGAGCTTCTTTATGTGTCATGCACGAGTTCGATGTTCACACGAAACAGAAATGGCGTAGCACATGTCTTTCCAACTCGATGTACTCAATTTTAAGATAAATTGTATATTTTGTATAATGGCTATTGTACGTAAATGATTATACATAAACGAAATCCCTCACCTCTCACTTTTATCAAATGTGATTTTTTTTTTTTTTTTTTATTGTTAAATTCTCGCAATTTTGTGTAAACGTGCTTTTACATATTTCAATTTTATATTTATACGCTGTAAAATTTGTTTGCGATTTATATTCGTGCAACACGAATTTCAGAGTGGAGTGATGCACCTTGTGCTCGTGATGCACTTTTTGTTTGTGGAAGATTTGCATTTTTATCGTTTTTGAAAAACGAAGAATAATTAAGATGTCATAAACGTAAACTGCACTTGTATCGATATAAGTGGAAACAGTAGAAATAATCGTTACATAAAATAAGTGCAATAGGTAATTTCTAAGTATTTTATGCATTCGTTTGATAATAATAAAAATTCGTATTTCAGACGACAAAGTGGACATATCGATATTTAGAGAAGAAGAGGGTCGCTACTTAGCATCGTGTAAGACGATTTTAAATGAACGATTGAACAAAAATTTCATTAATTTGTGTAAAAGTGAATTAAAAATATAAAATTTCTATAGCACTCGGTGATCCATTGATCAGAGGTCTGACAGAAGTTGCCAATAATCGTCCAAAAGATCCAGTTACTTATCTGGCTACTTATTTGTACAATTTTGCCAATAAAAGCAATAGCAGCCCGCAGGAACAGGTAAACAAAATTTTAAATATAATTTTGAAACAATAAATATGAATACGCGTATATATCTTTAGGAATCTAATGTATTGATCATTCCTGATCGTCCCGAAGAAAACATAGAGAATATCGAAAATGAGAATGGAGATGAGGATGCTGGTTATCCGCAAAGTCCGAGTTCCGATGTACCAGAATCAGCTTTTAGCAATCCTAATAGAGTATGATTTTAATTAGTAACTAGTATATAATATTAAAGATATCAATACATAATTAATGAAATGAATTCAGGATGAGCATGGACAAAGCGTTATTCATTTCGCTGCCATTAGATCTTATCCAAAGGACGGTTTGTTCCACCTACTTCAAGAAAGTCAAGTTAACGTTGGTTTCAGAGACGAATTGTACAGGACGGCTAGAGATGTAGCTGAATTGGCAAATATTAGAGAAAATATCGACGAAATTGATCGTTACGTGGCTTATTTAGCAGCAAGAGGTTAGCAAGATTTAATTTTATAGAAAATACTATATAAATAAATTCAAAAAATTTTTTTTAATATAAATCATAAAAAAAAAAAAAAGAAAAGAAAAGAAATTCGAATCAAAAGGATTATGTGACAAATGTTATTTAACTTGTAATATTTGTATAGGTGAAACAGAAAAATTAGTAGAATTATTATTAGAAGGATACGATCATATTTTGGATGTAGAAGATGAAGGTGTGAATATTGTAGACATTGCTGAGGAACGAGGACGAGAAGCAACCGTACAATTTTTACAATCTATTCCAAATTATGTGGTAAAATAAAAAAGTTTATTATATTTTTAAGAAATATCGAAGATTAATATATCTAAGAAATATTATTTTTTCATAGACACAACGTGAAGAAGTACATCATGAAATCAGAACAGGCAATGTATCAAAAGTGAAGGAATTATTAAATAAAAATAACGGTGGAGGAAAACTATTGGCGATGGGAAAGAATTCAATGAGTAGATGCGCCCTTCACATTGCAGTACTTCGTGAAAATATAGAACTGGTCCAATACATTGCGAGAACGTATCCAGAAACTTTACGTATCGGTGACAATGTAAAAATTAATTTAATAAATCATTTATTTTCGATTCAGTTGTAAAAAAAAAAAAAAAAAAAAAAGAAAAAAAAAGATATAAGATTTTTAACACTCCATTTCAGTTGGAAAGAACAGCTTTACATTATGCAATGGGTTTACTAACTGTTGAAGAATTAAGTAATATTCTTATCAAAGCGGGTGCAAAACGTATAGTGAAGGATTTAGTAAGAAATTTTTATATTCTAACAAGTAGCTAACAATTCAATAATAATAATCTATAATATTTTGAAATTTTAGAAATCACGGCAACCTTCCTATTATTTCATGAACAAATCAGACATAGAGAGACTTCAAGAAGAAGAAAATATGATCAAATAGATCCATTGGACGATGCTAATACCGTGTAATTCTTCATTTACACTTTTAAATATTTATGTGTATGAAATATGACATACATTGAGAAAGAATAAAGTGTACATTCAGCAGGAGATAAAATAATTACATGTGCCACTTTCTACGTCCTCTTGTGTACTGGAATTATCCTATTTGATCAATCTTTGATATCCTTTTTCTCAAGGTATGTCTAATGTAACGAATGAATAGAAGCACTCTTCTGATCCCGTGTAAAAATTATGATTATATAATGAATCTAGGTCATGTAATATACATTACAGTATTAATAATACAAATAATAAAAATATTCAGTTTTTCCGTATACATTTCTTTTAATTATCATCACGCAAATTCTCCTTATTTTGCTTCCATATTTTTTCTTTTTTTCTTTTTTTTTTATTTTTTTTACTATCTACAAATCTTCGAGTAGATAAAAATGAAGGCAAAGGAGATAATTTTCTCCTTCGTTGTCTTAATGCATCTAAATATTGGTCGAAGAACGCTGTTCGCGATTAGCTTCAGATATATATGTTAATATTCATTGTTAATATTCATCATAGAAGACGAACGTGAAAATGTGTATGTATCAAAGAATATTTGCTAGAAAATATAATTATTTTTTATCAGAATATCTACTATGCCGTAATGCGTATAATATCATTCCAATTGTACGGTATATCCTGCACAAGGATATCCTACGAACGTACACGAATCTGCGATCCAAAGTAAGTATAATGATATTCTTTGTTTCGTCCATTACTTCTCTATAATTCTATTTTACTTCGAGGCAATAGAAGTATTTAACCATATGATCATTCTTCAAATCATACAAATTTCCCAAGTTCCAATTATACGACGATTTTAATCACTGAAAAGATGTTGCATTTCTCTTACTGCTAATCTTCAGCTGACTCTGTGTTTTTCTACCAACATTGAATGCATCTTCCTCGACGTCCTCGGTGTCGTCGATGATTCGCTGCCATGGCGTAGGATTCACGTATGCTGGTTTAGCTTTTTGATGAGCTAATAGTAAGTGGAAATTTATAATCTCAAGTAAATTTTTATCGTTAAATTATACTTTTTTATATAAGAAAATAAAACAACTAACGTAAAAGTCCTTGCGTGGCAGGCTTCGGTTTATTCTTCGCCATCTTGCGCCAATTTTCATAAGCTTTCGTGCTCTCCTCTAATCTCTTTTTCCTCTCTTCTTCGAGTTGTTTTCGTTTCATTTCCTCTTTCTTTTGACGTGCTACAGATGAATATCAGAGATAAGAGGAATTATCGATAAAATAATGGAAATTAATTGAAAAATATTTCTTTACCTTTTTCTTCTTCCTTCTTTTTACGTGCCCATTGACGAAGATATAGAGTTTTCACAACAGCAGCTTTATCCTCAACCTCTTTTAGTTGTTTTTGTAACGTCAATTCTTTCTCAATAACAGCTTTCTTCTTCTCCTCTTCTTTTTTCTTCTTCTCGGACCATTTTAAGAAATTTTCTTTCTCTCGGAATTCTCTTTCTTCCTTTTCACGAGCCAGTTTTTCCGCCTCTATTTGCTTCTGTCTCTGAGCCTGTTCTTCCTCCTCCTTTTTTCGCCGCGCCATTTCTTGCTTTCTTCGTATCCACTCGCTGTAAGTGATTTTCTTGGCAAGATACGATTCGTTCGATTTTTTCTCCGATATTCTGATACTGGATACCGATGAGGTAGAAACTTGTACGATCCTATGTCCATTAAATGTGTATCTACATGACGAGAAACGATATTTTGTTGGTCTCAAAATTTGATATATTATTCTTCAACATTGTTAAATATCGAGTGAAACTTCTAAAAAATCCCATAGAAAAAAATAATTAAAGGAAATAATTGAAATACATCAATATTCGTTTAATTGATGAGATTATTAAAATACCTTTGCACTTCCGATTCGACTTGCCGAAGTTCGTACTTATCGTCCGCTTCATCAGGAATCCTACATCGTCTCTCGATTCGATTTAAAGGTGTATATGAAGTCACAGACTTGGAACGAGCGATATCGGACTGTAAGGATGCGGATGTGGTCGGTGAATTTAAGGAATAACAACGATACGTTTCTTGAGCTGAACCTTGATCACCGGCATGATTCATAAACGAAGTGGCCAAACCATTGTTAATAGACAGCGTGGACATCATATCGTTCATTTCCGCGGAATCACCGCAATTAGGTACGTGCCGTCCATCGTTTTTCGAATTGACTCTCACTTGAATTTCAACTTCGTGTTCTACATCCTCGTTATTTAAGGTCTCTGCATAAATTGCCGGATTGATGAATCGAACTTCGGTACCAGATCTGGAACTAGTAGGAATTGCACCACAGCGAATCATCCCGTTGCTTCGAGAGGTTTTTCCTTGGCCATCATTAGGCATGAAATTTTTCGAACGATCGGAATTTATCATACATACACCGTTTATAGTCTCGGCATTTTTTACGGCGTGTATCTCATTAACAACATCATCATCTTTCTTCCAATCATACCAGTTGTCAATGTCGCTTTCAAACATCGTCAAGTGACCTTAAATCCTGATCAGGCAATATGCGATGAAGGTTACAACAGACAAAAGTATATCGAAATTTAACAACTCGTCACATATCGTTGGCTTCCGGTGGTGTCTTACGATTAATCCTTAGGAGTCCCAATGGAACTCACGTACGCATATTCGTCCATGTTCCGCGCGCGATGTTGTACTTTTCGTTTATACAAACAATGACGAATCCCCTGTTAGCGACTGTATACTTCAACGTGAAATTTACCATAAATTAATACAAAATATGTTCGTGGGGTATCGCGTTACGATTTCGAGTTTGACGGAGGTGCCACCTCAAGAGGAACACCTTCCATTAAGCGATTCCTGATGACACTAATTGAGATTCGTTAGTGTCTTGATTGATACCGTAGATTATTCTAGTAATCGACCAACAAGAAAAACAGATCACACTCGATGCTTTTCGATATATTATGTACGGATTTAATTACATCTATATTTAATTTCATTTGCTTTCAAATAAAAATGATAATGATAATTAAAAAATTTAGAAAAGAAAACATAATAAAATAAAATTTTTTTTTTTCATATTTGTTAATTTTATGTTTTAACTTACTTTCAAAAATAATTCAGAAGTTAGAAACAAAGTGCGAAAGCTGAATTATTTTTTGAAGGTAATGATACACAAATATAGTTTATGTTCACTAAAGTCTTTATTTGTTTCTTAACTTATTATGTATCCTTATATTACTTGTGCTTGATCGACATATCACTTAATTATCTTTTTTTTAAATTAATCACGATCTTCAAGAAATTAGCGTTCATTTGATATGATATTTCTTAAATTTGATTCAGTTACATTGTTTTGTTTTGTAATCATTTCATACTCTTCCGTAATTTCTTCAGGTTCTATTTTATTAAAGTACGTTTCTCGTTCTTGATGTACATAGTATGTGTCGTCAAAATTAAAGTGCAATCCAAGAACGATATTCAATGCAGAAGCGTCGTACGCATGACAACCGGAATATCGGTATTGTGGTTTCTTATTAAATCGGCATCCTGCTGATTGAGCTCCTGTAATAATAAATTCAAGTTATTTACATATTAAAATCAATTGTTTCAATGCACAAGTTTTTAATATACAAAAATTATTTTTGACATATATACCAATGGGACAAATACAATCTCTTGTTAATGCACATTGAATCCATGGCAACATTACTTTTTCTCTAATTTCTTTGATATTTCTAATTACTAAGTGCGATGCTCTTATTAATGGAAGAAAAAAGAAACTTTCTGCAGACACGTGAAAATATTCATACATCTTTGGGTGCGTTAAAGAACTAATTGCATGCCTTGTAGGCCAAGTTAAAATTCCAGATTTTGGTAAAAAATACTTTGAAATATCTGAAGAATTTAAACGCACATTTGAATCCATATATAATATATTTCCTAAAGTATTTAAAGCTGTCTGTAATACATAACAAAAAAAATTAAATAGTATAATTTTTTATTTTTAATTATTATGTATTTAAGTATTTATAAAGATATAATTACTTGAATAACTAAAGGTCTATAAACATGTAATCTATCATCCTCAACATGAGTTGGAAATAGACTTATATCGAAATGAATCACGTTACATTTCGTAGAATTACAAGCTGTTCTAATACTTTGCAAAGAATCATCATTTAATCCAACACTATAAATGACAATACTGTTATTTGGCAAAAAATGACTGATATTTCTCACAAAGCCATAAATATGTTGTTCATTTCCAGGCCTAATAAGAGAAACAACAGTCACATTTTGAGATTTAAGACTAAAAGGTGTTGTGCTTGCTTGTCCATCAAGACCAAGCATTGCAAGATATTTGGAATCTGTTACTAAACGCTTTTCTTCAACATCTTTTAAATTTTCCTGTAAAAATTATAATGAAAAATTAATAATTATTTTAATATATATATATATTATAAATAATAAGTAGAAGTTAAAAATTAATTGTCATGGAAATAATTACTTGGAAGTTTCGTAATTGCTTGTGTGTCTCTGTAACCAGAGTTTGAATGGAAGGTCGTTGATTGCTGAAAGCAATAAAAACGATGCTGCTCCCTGCTATGCACATAAGCAACAATAGCAGGCCTTTGGTACGCATCTCTCATCATTTAATCAAATATATTTCCAATTTTTAACAACAATTAGATAAATACATTACATAGGTTATACAATATCCATAACATGATTGATCTTTATAAATAGCTATGATTTTAATGGAAATAGATAATTATCATACAAATATCAGGAAGTATTATTAATAAGTCCATTTCGTAGAAACGATAATAAAAATCTTTCAACAAATTAGATTAAATTACGTTTTTTTTTTATAACAAAACACTGTCAGTGCTTTAGCAGACGCCGCATTTTTAGGAACTTTTTGATTTAATAGAAGCCCTATATAATGTCATCGCAATTATGTAACTGCATTTCGAAATATTTTATAAAATTTAAATAAAATAAGTTGTTGT